AAAAAAAAAAAAGGCACATTTTTCTTTCCCCTTGGGTTGTTGTCAGCACTGGTGTCCACCCCAGCATCACTTCCTTTGATAAAACTGCAGCGCTGTCTCACAAATCAACCTGCAGAACTGATGTGAGAAGCTGTGGTGCTGCCTGATGCCCACACAGATTATTAGCTGTGCTTCCTGCTTGAAAGGAGTACTCCTGAAATGTCAAACCCTTGCTGTACATGTTTGCAAACTGAACTTTAAATGATAAGCTCAGATCTCGCTCATTATAGATAATTGTAGCTTCTCTCTGTTGGAGAAGATCTTAATGCTGAGCGGTGTCTGGGCTGCCTCTGAGTAGCTCCTCAGATTTGATGCCTGTCTCTTCCCTTGCAGCCGTAAGGAATATGCTGCTCTTAAAATTCTTTAATTGCTTTGAAAGGTAACATTTTGCTGGGACATCTAGGCTGGGAATAGAATGCATGTGAATTTATCTCTGATGTGTTAATTTGCTTGATGGTTGTAAAGCCAGAGATTCTCAGCGGGTTTTTTTTGGTGAATTTTGAGTTTACAGTTGTCGCCTGCTGGATTTATTTCTTCTGAGCAACCTGTCCTAATATTTTCTCTAACTAAAGAGGAAAGATTAAGGCTATTTTGTTTTTTCAAAATGTTCCCTGGTAAGAAAAAAAAAATTTGGTTAAGTTTATTTTTATTGTATTTAAAGCTTAATTTAATAGTCTCTCAGCTTTTCTTTCTAAGACATGATGTGAGTAACACTTAGGAATTCCTTGACTTTCCACTGCCATTGTCTCCTTGGGTTACTTTTTCCACCTGCTTTTAAGATGGCCTGCAGTGAGGAGATTTCTGTGCCTCAGCTTCCACAGGAGCCTTCTCCTTACCTTTTTATAGCTGCATCTGGATGTGCTCCAATCTTACTACCAAATTTCTCTGTTGTACTTTGCTTTTTAGAGTGTCAAAACCTCTGATTCACAAATTCTCCTCTTTAACTTCCTTTGCCTTGTCACTACTTGGCCTCTCTCCATAATCCACCCTTTTCTGTGTACATCTCTGTGTATAGAAAGCTTTTAGTAAACACTGAATACAGCTTCTTCCAAAAAGCAAATTTAAACTGTTTTGGTAAAATGTCTGTCAGAGAAAGTATTGATGAGATTCAGCATGGGTGGTAATTGCAGTGTTAAATAAAACTCTTTTCCTTTTGACTTGTGGAAAAACAATTTCTAGAAGCTTGCCAGGCTTATTAATTTATTTTACCTATGCTTTCAGCCAGTTATTTAGATTAGCTTGAAAAAAAATCCAATCTGAAGGATAAGGAAACGCTCAATAAACGTTGCTGTCTTTAATCCTTGCAGTTGACTCTAGTGGGCAGATTGCAATCAGCACAAACTTTTCCCTTTATTTGGAGTGAAATCTATTCTATGCACTGTTTTTATCTTGGAATATATAAAATGTGTTGGTGCTTCTAAAGGAACAGTAACGTTAAACTGTGATCTCCAAACCAGTTGAGCTTTTGTTACCCTGACAGTATCTCCGTGGAAGGCTTGTGTCATTGCATTCCTATTGCAGCTCCATTTAGAGTTGGGCATCTCCTAAATTTCTGTTGCCTTTGTGGATCTCCTTCATCACTTTTTCCCAACTATGTTTTTTTTCCCTGTGTAGGGTGACGTAGCAGCCGTGGAGCAGCTGCTGACAAACGGGGCAGACCCCAATGTCAAGGATAATGCTGGCTGGACACCACTGGTGAGTGTTGAAGTCCTTTTCTTCTGACATCTGTCTTCTTATCAGATTTCATCTTATCCCTCCTTTCCTCGCCCATATTTTAGTTCCCTTTACGCAAAGAGCTATGCAGAGTGAAGAAGTGTTGATAAACGAGGTTAAAAGAATTCATTAGCAACTCTTGACCTGCCCAAATCTGGCTCTGCTCTGCTGGGGTGCAGGGCAGGCCTTGAGATCGATCAGCCTGCAATTCTGCCAGTGCAGAAAATACCACCACAATAGCTAGAAAACTACCAATTGCAAACAATGCTTATATTTTATGGGTTCTTAATGTCCTCAGTGTTTTGGAAACGTGTCAAGTAGTGGAATGA